CTACTGCTATAAGCTTGCTAGAAATGATCCTTCTAGCTGCTACTATTGCCACAAAAGTCAGAAAAGATCATTATGACTGCTTTCTAAACAGACTAGGACATATAGGGGCTATAGGACCACAAGTTAACCTGTACCTAAACAGCACTCATTCCAGGTCGTGGTAGTAAGGGCACATTAAAAAATCAGGGACCTCAATGCCTGTATGAGAACAGAAAATACAAGCCCTCGCGCAATGATTGGGACCTGGAGACTATCGAATACCTTCTCAAGAGCTTCGCGACTGGCAGCTGCTCCCATTACACCTGTCAAGGCCTGTGGCAGCCCTTTCTGCACGAAAGCTTTTCGTGCAGTATCCCTTAGACGCTCTTTTTCGGCATCGTTAGGTGCTGAAGGCCAAGACTTCAATTCAGCTTCTGTTGGGAGGACGTTCTCACGAAGTTTGGTGATATACAAACCAAGTGCTTCATCAGATGTGTTGGACTCAATCATGGATTCTTGCAACAAGCTGCGAATCGTCTCTATATTTGGATTTCCAGGGCGTAATATGTATGACTTCGCCGCATTCAACAGAGTGCGGCGTATATTCCAGGCAGATGACAGTGTATATAATTCATTTATCACTGCAAAAATAAGTTCCACAGCTATCCGGGTTTCTTCTTGGGTGATAGGGCTGCCTCGGCCGTCTGAAATATCTTGTGCAGTAGTATTCGCCCACTCCTCTATTTGGGTATGGGTATGTTCCTCCCTAGGCCTACCCGCAGAGAGTCCTAACGAACCACGATGTTTGCAATCCATGCTAGAAGAAGCAGTAACTCGCTCCGTTTCTGCGGCTGGAACCTGGCTTGAGCTCTCTGCATTTTCTGCCAGGTTGCCAAGAGGTATGTCCTGACAGGGTTTGGCTCCCTTCATGGCCGTGGTAGCAGGCGCAGCTCCAAACAGTGGCGAACTATGCCTCTGATACCTGGAAGATAGCTGAGTATCGTCCGTTCCCTTATCTGGCTCCAGTGAATGTCGTCTCCGATTTCCAGCGTCTTCAGACCTGCGCGGATGGATTTCATTTTGCGTAGGGATATTGGTATTATGATTATGACTATTCGTAACCATATCTGATGAAGTCTTCTTAACAGACATCACGCCGAACACTCCGGTCATGCCGCCAAAAACAGCCTTGCTGCCATCGGAAACGCCTTTGGGTGCATTTGCTAAGACGCCTAGAAACCCCTTTCCGACATTTTCGAGGGAAACCTGACTCGGAAAAGAGAACCCAGCCTTTAGGGATGTGCCCGCAGATGCAGGACCAAGCCTTCCACCCTTCTCAAGGAACCGCTTCATCCTTTCACTCTCTGCGAGTAATTCATATTGAAGGGCATCTTGGAGGTATCGCTCCAGACTCCTCGCCAATGCTTGTTTTGTCTGTCCTTTCCAAGCAGGCAGGACAGGGTGATCGTCTGTAAACTTTTGAACTCCGTTCAATCTCGAAATCGTTTCTAATGTCTCATGGAGTGACTCGAAGTCTGTGTAGTTCCTGAAAACCATCCATCCTGTGCAGCACGCAGACGCCGGCTCAATTTGGACGAAGTAATTTGATGTAGGTTTTGATCGTAGCAATGTCTTCCCCCCCAGATCTACGCCATCATCTACCGTTATGGAAGCTCGATGGAGAGTCAAGGTGGCATTTATGTCGTTCTCCGATGCTTGATTCAACGACAAGGAACTTGCTGAATGTAGCGAAGACGGTGAGGAGGGTCGCCTTGCAGGATTTAGTTCGAAAGCCCTTTCAGATGAAGGCTCATGGATCTTCTGAGTCAGCTTGACGTTCACATTCTCAAGCACTGATTGCGTTCTAGTATCATGCTCAACACATTCCTTCCCATGACAGGGCTGTGAAGTGGGATCTTCTCCGCTTGAAAATGGGATTTGAAAATCATTGTATACCAACTGCTCAGCATTTTGATGCTGCAAGTCTTGTGCTGCGATCATGGCACTCAGTCGCTTGGCTTCCACCATGGCTTCTTCAGTTGCTTTATCTATGTGAGCAGCCTCTGAACCTATTTCCTTTTCATTCAGAGTTGAAAGAGGCATATTCTCTTGTTTGAAATCCTTGGCTGCGGTTACACCATGAGTTCGCGCCCCTTCAACACCGGCATCGATTGCACTCATGATTTCAGAATCGCCTTCACTAAGAAGATGAATGATCCATCCATTGATGAACTCTGGACGTGATAGACTCGAGATGATGGATTCAAGGACAACACCCGCTAATATTTCGCGAAGGAAATCCCTTAGAGGAGGCAGCGCATACGCTTTCGGATCCAAAAAGCTGGCCAATATATCGTCCGCTATCAAATTGAGTTTCTTATGTTGTTGTTGGCCTGCTAACACATTTGCCAAACTGCTCTCCGGGGAATATTCTAGGTAACGCTGAATAATCTGTTCCGGAGTCATGGTAGGCCCAATAGTCTCAATCGCTGTAGACAACTCATTCAGGAATACGATTAACATGGAGGATGAATTTGTGAGAAATTCCAAAAAAGTGTCTGCTGGCCGTTTACGTGAAAGGTGTGTTGACACAGAGGTGACAAAACTGATCAATGTCTTCCGACAGGAGAGAGGAAACGTCATCTCGGATGGCAAGATCGTTTCATACCAGCAACTTTCTCTTTGGTAAGCTCTTGTCTTATTTAGAAATGTGAGACCTTACTTGACATAGTCCCTGATCACCGCGTCGGTCAGTGATTCCAACGCGGCAGCTGTCTTTGGACGGAAAGAAGTGTAGCCCGGTTCTATTTCAACCACATCATTTGAAAGGTTCTGGAGGTTATCGTTTGATTTAATTCTTGTGGTATTGCGTTTGGACCAATCCAGTAACCTATGAGCTATATCCAATCCCATTTCTCTTCTCTTAAGTCGGCAATCCAGTTCATTTTTAGAGGAATGAGTGCTCGCCCCCTCCCATGACGCATGTAGGACGATGCCACTGGTTACCCCGATCAAGAGCAGACCAAGTCTTCCCAGGAGAATATATGTTGTGCCCACCAAGCCAGCAAAGACGCCGAGCAGAACTTCATTGCTAGCAGTAGAAAGGAAACCAATGACAAAATCAACAAGCTCTTTTGACTGCGCTATATTGGTCCCATGGTTGTTGAAGTCGGCTTGTTGTTCTGCAACACTTGCTTGGTCGGGGAGGTTAGTTTCATTTGGCTGGGAAGGAGCATCGCCGGGAGTGTCCATGGTTATTGACCCCATGAAATGACAGTTTGCCACAGGTGGTAAGCAGGTCTAGAAGGAATTAAGAATTGTCACCTGTTCATTAATAATTTCCAGGACCAGGCACGGGTGTGTTTGTTCCTAGGCACTGCTCCTATGGTAAGTTCATGGTACAGAACGGAGTAGATAGAGTAGTGGGCAAGCTAACTACTTAGTACTGTGTAGACCCAGTCAGACTAATTAGATACCCGACGGGAATGTACCGATATGAACCATGCGGCCCACCCTATTCTTGACTTAACCATACCAGAGGCAAAGTTATGTGCATACGTATGTAGGTACGAGTCCAAGAAAATTATATGCTTTCAGGTACAGATATAGAGGTGTATCTCTAAATAGGGATGGTAGTTTATGCTGTTGATAACACTGTATTCCAGATACATCACAACAACTCCCGTGGTTAAAAAAGCACCAATCCAACACGAGAAGTAGCTGTTAGAAGTTATTGAAATGTCTCTATTTGTTATTGCCTTGCTTTACTGCCGAAAAAACACGGTATCTAAGAGTGGAATTATTCTCTGTCATCCGAGTGAATCCAGGCATTCAAAGTACACATGTTTCATGCCAGATGTAGAGATAATGGCGGTACTATTAAGATCAATCAAGGACATATGGAGTTTTTGTTTCCCTATTTTCTTTCTTTGAGGCTACCTGGCCCTTGTGGATCTTCAAGCCTGCGATGTTTGTATGACCCGGCGCATCCCCACAAAGGGGAGTTCATCGTGTTTTAATATATTTTGTATGGGTTCCATGTGCAACAATTGTTGTCTGCCCAGTCTCAGCCCTTTTAGAAATAGTAATTGATGTGAAAGCCAGTGACTTCCCCACTTTATTAGCCCGACCCTCAATCTCCAGCCAGTCCCCAGTGGTCGCCGTAGAAAGGTAATTGACATGAATATCTGTGCTCACTCCCGTAGAGTCGAGGCCACAGGAAGCGATTGCCAATCCGCCTGCCCAGTCAGTGACACAGGCCGAGAAAACACCATGCAAAGTACCCTTTGAATTAAGGTGGTGAGAAGCAACTTGAATCCGGGAGTGAAACACGCCTTTTTCGGCGTCGTAGATTTCGATATCATTAAGAAGAAACGCATATATGGGACTAGCGGCTCGGATACGCTCCCAGGATTTCCGCACTTGTTGTAGCTCTGAGTCCATGTTATATTGTTGTGTGTTGTTTGGGACTTCCATGCATCTGAGGAGAAACTGAGAGGGAAAAAAAAGGTACTCTGCGGGAAGGAAGAGGACAAATTTGTTTTTTGTCGATGCGGGCCCTCACGATTACTACTAGTAGTATGTAGTATACCACTAAGGACACTAGTGTCGGCTGTCTTTATGTACTGCACAATACAGAAGAAACTGGCCGAAATCTATACCGAGTACTCCGTACAGTCATATCAATACCAGGTAGGCATCAGGGCCTATTACTTTCTGAAACAATTTATTATACCCAGGGTAATCCACACTGATAGCTATAGTAGAGTTCGCTTGTCAGTAGGTATCCTATGCAACAGGTACCTCAGTAGAGCAGACTACTCGAAAGTTTAAGCTTGCGGAAACAGTGCAGCTTTCATCGAATAAATAATTACATACTTCGGTTTTATAATGACATACAGGTAAAAGCATATGACAACAGTCACGAACTACTAGTCTGTGAACATCTACATGGATCATAGATTGTATTGTCCCGGTTCTTTTTCCTTAAAGGCACCCATGGAACCTGAAGGCCGTCTCAATTAGGCTTCCCGTGGAGGAGTTCTCCTAGACAGCATCTGTGAAAGCATGAAGTGGTTAACGTCCTCATCAGCCCAGTACGTCAAATGGCTGGCGATGCTGGCAATCATAGATATATCAAAAGCACCTCTAATTTTTTGGAGTTAGCGCTCCCATTATGTTAAAGGTCTGACAGGTACTGCAAGGAGTCTTACTCTTGTATGCTATAGTCAACTCGCCCATTCGAATTCAGGGACCTCACTTTTGCATCCTCGGTCCTTAATCTCTTCATACGAATTTCGTTCCCCTGATGCTCAGTAGCGTCATCGCTTGCAGGAGCTGGTGCATTCTTTCCAGGTGCATCCTTGATTTTTTGGAAGCCCTCGTAAAGCGTCTCCAAGTCCGAGTCTATAAGAGTAGGATGCCGATCAAGTCTATCTGCGAGATCAGCATCTGTGTTGAACGATGGCGGCGATTGGATGGCAGAGTTTGGTTGAGGAATATCCTCAGCGCCAAGGCCAAGACTGCGATTAAGCAAGCTACTCGCGACGCCTGTCGTGAAATTGGTCCACAGAGACCCCACACTTTGGCCTACACGGCTTCCAATTATTGAAAGGCTTTGTCCAGAGGCTGCCCAAAGGCTCTTCTTTACTGACGGCAAAGGCTGTGGCCGGAGCGACGACATTGCTGGTGATATAAGTGGCTCTATGCGATAGCTGATGGGATCAGAAGGATGGAATATATTGTAAAGCTGCTCGCATTTCGGAGAAGAAACATGGAAATGCTTATCATCGGGCCCCATTCCTGTGTTAGCCTGACTAGGTGATGGTTTGACAGTTGTGTCTTTTCCATCCACATAGAAAGTGTTTTTAGTTGCTTTACTTCCCGACATGGATCGACCAGCAATAGTTTTTCCCTTCAGCATCTGAAAAAGTGCGATTGGAGAGCCCAAGCAAAACAGTTCCTTGCACTCGAACTCTAGTTGCCCGTCTTGCCAGGATGCTGGCGGATTACCTTGCTGTCCCACAGGAGCAGATGATCCCTGCGAGCCAGCTGTGGATTTTTCACGGCACAGGATATCAAAGAGAATGGCACTCCCGAGTGAATGCCCACAGAGACTCACTGATCCCCTAAAAGAGGGGTTCCTCCTTTTGAATATTTTGAGAATCCGGTTGCATTCCTGCTTAACTATGGTCGATATGTGCTCGCAGTATGCACTCTGGTATAAAAGCACATCCATTGCCAAATCAGATATTAAATTTCGAACCGCGGGTACGCTATCGAGTGTAATATCAGCCAAGCCGGGGTAGGGGTCATCTTCGAAAACGTCTGCGTCTGCAAGATCAAGCTCTTTGCGATTTTGGCTCACCCCTCGGTAGGGAAAATCAAGGAGGTGCCTCCAGCATCTAGCCAATATTAGCGAAGGCTTAACAGCGTGGCTCAGTTTCTCGGGCCTTCTTCCCCATCTCCCTCGAAAGAAGCCCACTAGAGGGCCGGGGGATCAGTGCATCAACTTGACAGATTGAATCTATATGGAATCACTTACACTGGGAGTACTTGAACACGACAATTCTCGTGCTTATCCCCAAAGGCGGAGTTGAGGGCCTGGAGATCAGGAGACACTTTGTACACATTTTTCATGGTCTTCCGTAGGACATTCACATCATGGATAAAGTTGATACTCTCTAGCCGTAGCCCAAGTCGCTGCCCAATCCCGTGAGTAACAAGAACTAGATGATCAATTTCTCGGTCTCTATCATTACCATCAGCCTGTCTCGAATCCTCCATTTCCTTCTCTTCTTGTCTACGAGCTTGTTCTTCGATCTCAGCCGCATTCTGCGGTTCGCTAGCAAGAGATGACATCTGCCGTTCGAGAGTTGATCTCTTGTTTATCCCAGGGGTGGTGCTGTTCTCAAAATGGGAGTCCGTTACTTCAGACTTCATGCCTTCTAGTCCACAGTGATCCTGATTATCTGAACGGCGTGCTTCAGAAGTAGAGGCCGAGCCCTGGTTTGATTTTCGATTGGGGTTTCTCGAATCAGGCGCTTCCTTCTGTCTTTTTGTCTCAGAGAAGCCGCGCACTAATCGTGTACCTGGTACCCCACCCAGCTTCTGGTATACCGTGGTGCTCACACGGGACATGAAGTCATCATTTGTCAGTAATGCTGACGAGGAATCCTGATATGTCACTAAGCTATTCATGTAGGCGCCAAATAAACGATAAGTGTGGAGTCCATTTGCGGGTACGTGGGTCATATGCCCAGCATTTTCAGCACGATCGCGCAAAGTGCTAGGCTCTAAGAGCAGCGTGAGTTTATGCCTTTGTGCTTTTGGAAAAGGGATCATGACTGCACAGGCCTTAGGAGGACCCTAAGGGTCAAGATGACGAACCTTCGACTTCTTCAACGCCACGGTTTAATTTTAAGATAGCCCTCCTCAAGTTGAGTGGCGAGGTTCTCTTCACATGGCTTGATCGTGGAGCCGTCCTGGATAAACCATGTTCCACGACGAACTTCGTATATGGGGCCTATCCAATATGCCGGACTGAGCTCCCTTCGCTCTACATCCACATCGAAAAGATAGTCCTCATTGACAGGTACCTTTGTGATATCCTGGGCCGTGTCAGTGGCCTCGTCAGGTCGATTTACACCCTCTCCACCCTCGACATCAGCTATATTTTGAAATGCAATTTCAATGGCCTGGGAATCCTTGACTGAAAACGGGACGAATTTCTTGGGGGGCGGAAGAGGTTTTGAGGTATCCCTCTTTTGCTCTGTGAGCGCCGGTTTCCATTTTGGGGAGTCCACAGCATAGAACCACCTTACCCGCAACGAAGGGCAGTCTTTGGGATAACGCTGTGGATTAAGGCGATGTCTGTGAGTGACTGTATGGTCTTGGCCTTGAGAGCGTTGCAAGATGTCTGGTGTGTCATTGCAGCCACCGACGGGTTGAGGGGTCGTACTCCTCGAGACATTCCAAGGAGAGATCGCCCCCAGGAATGTCCCTCTCTGATTCTCCTTTGACATTGAGCTCTGAAGAGCTCGAAGAGTTGAAGTGCGAGCCAATTCGACGAACTACTGCCTGTTGCCAAATGAGAACGAGGTCAAGAATGAACGATTGACCGGCAAGGGAACTCAGGGAGGTTGAATTTGAAGTAAAATTAATAAGTCTAAGCGTGGTCAATAAAAATGTATCCAGGAATTAACACTCTGAATTGGTCCGGGATCAGAACTTGCAAATCTGATGCCTCTTTTAGTTTTTTTTTTTCTTTTTTTTCTTCCCCCTCCTTCAGTTGAAGGACAAAATTTGAGTTCTGCAGTAGTACTGTGTATATGAGTAATATATCAGTGCGTAACTAGACTCAGAATTCTAGCGCTAAGAAAACTAGAGAATAATTGAAGAAGGAAAAAAGAACAAAAAGAGGAATAGCTGTGGGGCACTGAGTAACTGATAGAATCTGACGTTAATCAAAGTTTTGACATGCTCACTTTTGAGGCAACGTGTCGTGACCAGATTAAACCCCAAAGAACGGGGAAGGAAACAGAAGATATATACCAGTTAGTACTGGTAGTATATATGTATGTACATAAAGTACATTTGTGTAGTACCTCACTCCCTCTGAGAATAGTAAGGTAATGATAGTGTACATATAACATGTAGTAGGTAGGTGAGGCACAACATACAGAGAGATTTATGGATTAGAATTTGTAAGAAGATCCCAGCGGCACAAATAATTTGGGTCGACATCATCATGCGTCATCACCAATATCAAAGACTACTAGTAGTATAAACCACTTATCCATGTATTCAATAGTATAAGTTAACGAAAGAGGTGAATTTCACAATTTCAATAAAGTAGAATAATTCAAACAATACAAATAAACTAAATCTCATAGTTTTCCTGAGTAGCTTTCATACCTAATACTGAAGAAATCTGTCAGTTCAGCTGGTCCCCGCGTCGTCACCACCCTCCTAGTGCCCAAAAACCCCACTCCGCTTTCCATCAAATCCCACTCCGTCATCCAGGGGAAACCAACGCAAACCATCTCAAGTGCAGGCCTAGGCTACCGAATTACGGACAGTGCTTACTTCGGTTTGCTTTGCCGTCATTCTTCAATTGACAATCTCCTCCTGAAATATCCCAAGATATTATAACCCTTTGTCATCCTTGGCTATCATTTGCTAGCCTGTGTCTTTCCACAGCATAACATACAAACCACTCCGTTGGTTATCGGCCGGCGTGGCGAAAAAGAAAAGCAATAATGAACGTCATCAAGCTTCAAAGGTTTGTGTGTCTCTCTCCCTCTCTCTTCCTTTTTCTGGCATTTCCTGGACTTTTTATGCAGGACGTCTATCTTTTTACTACCCCACTTACTGAGCAATGAGTCTCACTCTGATGGTCATCTCCGTAGGAAGTTCCCACAGTTCGACCAGGGCGAAATCTTCTCTCTCCAAGATGCCTTTAGAAAGTTAGATGTTGATGATAAAGGCTACTTGGATGAAGCGACTGTGATCAAAGCTACTCAACAAGCAGAACGCCAGCCATATGACATCGTACGGCAGGCGCTAAAGGAGGTTGAATTGGATAGCTCTCGCCGGGTAGAACTTGAAGACTACGTGGATGTTAGTATTTCCCATTTCGAGCCAATGTTCTTTTTATTTCCACGGTAGAGAAACTAAGACAGGAACAGCTTATCTCCAAGCTGCGTTCTACTTCGGGGCAAAGCGGGCTCGCCGGCACTGCAGGTCCCGCCGCGGTAGTACCTGGCAATGGCGCTGGCTCCTCTCGCCATGTCTCGAAAGGCAGCATAGGAGGAAGAATCCACGTCCAAGGTTCATCGGCAAATGTAACTCATACTATCAATGAGGATGAAAGGACCGAATTCACAAGACACATCAATGCCGTTCTTGCTGGGGACCCAGACGTTGGTCACTTCCTGCCGTTCGCCACCGACACGTTCGAGATGTTCGATAAATGTAAAGACGGGTTGGTTCTAGCAAAATTGATCAATGACAGTGTCCCAGATACGATCGATGAGCGTGTCTTGAACAAGCCAGGAAAGAAAATCAAGGAATTGAACGCATTCCACATGTCCGAGAATAACAACATAGTGATCAACTCGGCTAAGGGTATTGGCTGCTCAGTTGTGAATATTGGAAGTGGTGATATAATAGAAGTGCGCGAACATCTCATCCTTGGCCTGATCTGGCAGATTATTCGCCGAGGTCTTTTGGGGAAAATCGACATCAAACTTCACCCTGAGCTTTATAGACTTCTTGAAGAAGATGAAACCTTGGAGCAATTTTTACGTTTGCCTCCTGAACAGATATTGTTGCGTTGGTTCAATTATCATCTAAGGAATGCAAAATGGAACAGACAGTATGTTGCCATCCTGTGTTTTCTCGGGATAATGTCAGGGGATGCATAGACATTTACTGATCAATACTGCAGGGTGACAAACTTTTCAACTGATGTGAAAGATGGTGAAAATTATACAGTTCTTCTCAACCAACTGGCACCCGATGCTTGTTCACGAGGTCCCTTGCAAACACAAGATTTGCTTCAGCGTGCTGAGCAGGTTCTAGCTAACGCGGATAAACTGGGTTGTCGAAAGTTTCTGACCCCAACCTCACTCGTTGCTGGGAACCCCAAACTTAACCTTGCCTTTGTGGCTAATTTATTTAACACGATTCCAGGTCTTGACCCTATCACTGAAGAAGAGAAGCTCGAAGTCGAAGACTTCGATGCTGAGGGAGAGCGTGAAGCTAGAGTCTTTACGCTTTGGTTAAATTCACTGGATGTCCAACCAGCTGTTAACTCTCTTTTTGATGATCTTCGGGATGGCACTATTCTCCTCCAGGCATATGATAAAGTAATTCCCGGAAGTGTTAATTGGAGGCATGTCAACAGACCACCAACCTCTGGTGGTGAAATGATGCGTTTCAAAGCGGTTGAAAATACGAACTATGCCACCGAGCTTGGAAAGAATATCGGCTTTTCTCTTGTTGGTGTTCAGGGGGCTGATATCACTGATGGACAGCGTACTCTTACACTGGGGCTAGTTTGGCAACTAATGCGGAAAGATATCACAAACACACTGTCGAGCTTGGCGCAGCGGATGGGTAAGCGTGAGATTACGGACTCGGAGATGATCCGGTGGGCAAATGACATGTCCCGCAGAGGCGGCAGGACTTCGTCGATACGCAGTTTCAAGGATCAGTCAATCGGCTCGGGAATCTTCCTCCTTGACGTGCTTAACGGCATGAGGAGTAGCTACGTGGACTATGAGATTGTAACTCCAGGCCGCAGTGACGAAGAAGCATACTTAAATGCCAAGTTGAGCATCAGTATAGCAAGAAAGCTAGGTGCAACCATCTGGTTGGTTCCTGAAGATATTTGCCAGGTCCGCTCTCGTTTAGTGACTACATTCATTGGTGAGTTTGCTTTTACGAAACTGATCTTGAGTCAATGTAAAAAGCTAACATCCATGAACAAGGCTCCCTTATGGCTACATATGAGAAGATGCAATAAGCTCATCATGAGAGTTTTATTGTGCTATGATGGGGAGTGTCAGACCCCATTCTGTTCTCAGCTGTCTTCCCATTTTCTTTCTTTTGATTGGTTATTGCCTTGCTATGTGTGCAGCTTTATTAACCTGGTATAAGTTTTCGGACATGTTTATAGACCTAGGCCACCGTAAGAACCAAATTTCGAAGGAATGACCCTTCCTTGTGTCAATGCCTTAAACTTGGCAGTAGTTTCATTCCTTTTCCCTTTATCTCATTTCCTTTCATATATGGTATCCTCAGCCAATGGTGAAGCACAAGTAATCTACACCACCAATTAATGAAGGTTAATACATGATGGGCCATACTCAAAGTAGCATTTTTGGTTGCGTTCATCCGAAACGTTCAGCTAGATCATTATATTGCAAAGCAATTCAGTAATTAAGTTGCGCGTAGGCCACCAATAGGTGATCGGGGAGCACATCACCAGGAACTGCGTCCTACTTTCAAGTTTCCTTACGATCCATGTATGTACTACAGATATACATATGCTCTGCTCTACATTACAATCGGTTGCCGGAACTCGTAACGACCGGTCGTACAGGACGGTAAAAGGGAATGCTAATCGTCTTCATATTAAACAGCGATTTAGACGCATGACGGACCGCTGCGGATCGTGACGGACAAAAGGACGACATACACTGGCGTGGGCGGAACGGGGGAATAAACGATCGCTCGGTGGGCGTTCGGTGAAAATTCGAGCCGCTGATAAAGATTTCAACGTGGATTGATCAAGTCAAGGTCCCAATAAGATCGATCCATCACCACAGCACTAGGTCCGAATCCTCGTCTTTATTCGTCTCCCATCTCCTCCGGTTTCCCGATAACGAAAAAGAAAAAACTGCGGTAAAACGAATTAAGGGCATTAAAGAGGAAGACGGGGGAAGGGAGGGGGGGGGGGGG